GTGCATGAAATAAGTCATTCCTGTCTTTTGATGCTTCACGTAGCTGGGGCCTTTATGGAGAGAGAACAGCAGCATTAGATCATACATAGATTACATGAGAATGCAATTCTGGAAACTCTCCAGTTCTGAAGTTGACCTGTAAAAAAAAACAAAAGCTACAACTTCATAGACTATTAGGAATCACACTTTTGATTGCCTTTTCACCCACAATTGTAATTTCTATATGTAAATTGTCAGCTTTGATATTGACACTTTAGCTTTTTTGCTTATGAAAATGTTATTAATATACCTAAAGGTCAGATTGGTGACATCCTTCAACCAGCGTCTGTTGAACATGATTCGTTGAAGAGCCTCGTGTGGTGGAGATCATGGTACCATGAGCTCTTTATCACTGGTCGTTGCATCAAGTGGTCCATGGTCACATTTGCCACAAGTCCATTCATGCTTCCCTGTGACATGGTGAAGCACACCCACCCACATGTCCTAACAGAAAAAATAAGTTTTATTTGAAAACTTTACATGTGACAGAAGCGCTCACCAACAGAAACACGAGAGCTGGCACTATTATGAAAAGAAAGGTAATTATGTCAATGTGCATTGTTGTCTTGTTGTCCAAAAGATGTCACAATACTTACATTAAACATATCACGATGTTGTGCTTTCTGGCAAATGTACCAAAATTGGTTGAAGATGGCATTCAGCCACACAAGTAGGATGGAAATTCCCTTTAGGATCCCAGCCTGTGAACAAGGATAAAACAACAATTCCATCTTTTAGTTCTTTTTAAAACATAGAAGGGTTTTATTTACCTGCAACGTTTTGTTTGCGGCTGCAAACTTCGTCAGCCTGACAAAGTTTTCATAACAGTTCTATTCTGTTATGAAATCAATAAATAAAAGTAGAATTAATATATTGTTTTTAGACTTTGGAGTTTAAAAAAAAAGAGTGTAGATAAGAATAGGGCTGGGCAATATGGCCTCAAATCTATATTGCGATATAATCTGAAGCATGTGCAGTAACGATATATATTGTGATATATTTTTTCATCTGTTTATAGATGTCAAATTGACATGCTTTTACATATCCTCATGTGGCAAATATATGCCACTTGAGGCATATAGGCCTCCTCCTCCGCCCACTCCATGCTTGCAGTCACCGCCATTCGGTTGTCCCATTGTCAGCAGGGTGCACATCTTAGTGACGTCATGTGTTATCACAATATCGCCGTATTGTGATATAGCCAAAAACTATCATTACCCAATTTTATATCATTTCTACCTTATATCGTTTATATTGCCCACCCCTAGATAAGAAGACACTGCAACTCATACACTGTTGAGTAAGTTGTTTGCTTGGCCCTCATCAATTTGGACTGCATCCGTAGCTAGATCCATGGATTTGAAACTACAGACAACACAGTAATATTTGTTGTACGTAAAGATAAATACTGGAACTTACCTGAAATGGTACTGATTCTAAAGTGATAAATGTGGAGCCTAATACATCTGTCATTAATTATTTCTGCAAATAACAACAATCTGCTGTGAATTGACACTTCACAACATAAATAAATATATATGATGACCTATATTTGCTTATCTATTGTGTTTTTATCTTTTTTGCACATAGTACAGCAGTAAATTCCTGCATATATGGCAAGACTTCTCATGAACAAATTTACCTTTCTTCAAAAGGATCCAAATCTAGGTCATCAGCTAAGGCCTCAACACCAGCCATTAGGAAATCTTCCCTGTAAAGATAATGTCAGAAGTGTTTGGTGGTGTGATGTTAGTTCTGAACCAAGTGTGGATATGCAAGGTGTAATTTAATGTATGAAATTACATAGCACAAAAACGTGAATATTTGTTTTACAGAAAAGATACTAACCCCTCAGACACAGGTTCAGTTGGAGATAATCGATGCGACATTTTAGCTGCTGTTCTCTTACTGGGTGTCAAGGTTGAGTTCACATAACCTCCCTGAATTGCAGTTTCAGGAGCCTGCTTCTTCCGGTAGCTGAAAAACACATTTTTAAACAAAAATGTCAACAAGTTGGTTGAGACTCTACACCTTCTGTTTCATAGATCAATAATGGCTAAGCTTCTTTACCTGTGGCACAACTAGTAATATGAAAATGCATGTCAGTCATAAAAAAAAATATTTATCATTTTCACAAACATATTTTATTCTGACCTACATTCAACAGGACAAATTTAGAAAAATAAACACAAACTTCTGCACAACTTTGTTTTTAGTCAAACGTGTTGTTATGGCTGACTTATTATTTATTCTTATTTAGCACAGCAATAGCGCTAGGGAAATATATTCCAATGGGGTTCTGTTACACAAACCCCCACGAATAACATTATCTACTAAAGTAACAGTCCTGCTTAGAGGTTGGACTGTAGATCAAATATGACATAATTCTAAAGACTCATCTTTGGTTTGGAAAATGTCCATTCTCTTCTGTGGTACATACAAACTGAAGCGTGATCGCAGCTAATATGATCGCAGCTAACATGCTACGCACGCTAGCTCTCTCCGGCTGAGCGGTGACGTCATATAATCAAATCAAGCTGTTTACTTTTCTCGTCAGAATAAACTGAGCACCCATTTGTCTCCAAAAACATGCGGTGTCATCCACAAAACGTAGAAGTGATCCGGTTACTCCTTAGTTGCTTTTAGCTTTTTCAAACTGACCAGGAAGCCATATGCTAAACACCGTTAGCTTAGATACGTTTCTTGTTCATCTGCACAAAGATTTGTTAGATTACCTAAATCAGCAATTATCTAAATCCATAAGTTTTATTTTATTTTCTCAAATTGTGCAGATACAGCTCTGATATGTTTAACTACTCGTTACTGAAACCTACAGCAGAAATAAGGAGACCAACACTTACCTGGTCACTAGAAAATGAGCCATGTCCGCATCCTTTTTCAGGCACCAAATCCAGTTGAAGCAGCCTCCATTCTTCCAGAGCGTAACCAATAGATATTCGGGTCCCTGACCGACTTTTATCATATTTTCTTTTTGACTCTCGAGATGCCGCTGATAAAACATTGTTCTTTGTGCCACTCTTTAGTGGGCTTTGAGTTGCGCTTGGTCGTTTGCTAGTTGTAGAATCCATTTTCAGGGTTCTTCCTCTTCTGTTTGGGGTTTTAACGTGGCTAGTAGTGAAAGACGCATTACCGCCACCTAGCAAGCTTCCAAATGTTTTTCCGGGTTTGAACCTTGTCGAGAACGCGCTTGAAGCGTCAATTAACGTCATATCCGTAAAACAGCGTGGGAATTTTGGATCAGGAATGTTTTGCATTTTGCAGCACACAGCCTGATTAACAAAATGGAATGATAAACTGGTTTCATCATTCTTTTTAGTTTAAAATGCTTCATCACCCATAAGCTTCACAAGAATGAACATGTACTTTTTGTTTTTGGACAATTCCTGCCCCATGCTCCTTTAAACATTGGTTGAAAAATGTGAACCTTAATGGACTGCTTATATCTGAGATTTTTGATGTCGTCTGATATAATCTGATAGTGTTTTTGGGCCGATATGGAATTACTTCCAATATTGATATTCCCTATGTTCCTGAGATGGAAGAAGGAAGAGCAAATGAGAACTGACATGAGAATCCAGGGTGAGAGCTGGGTTAAAGGTCACTCCCAAGATTCCTGAAAGAGGGTTTGGTTTGACAAGCAAGCCGACCAAGAGAGTCTTTGGGAACCAGCTTGCCTGGGACACAGATGAAGATCTCGGTCTTATCTTCATTCAGCTGTAGAAAGTTCCCAGCCATCCAGGTTTTGATAGAGTCTAAGCAGGTGTGTAACACCTGTAGCTTAGACATCTCATGGGGCTTAAAGGAGATGTACAGTTGGATGTCATCAGCATAAAGATGGTAGTGTACGTCCTGTGGACTGGAGCCGTCTATTGGAGATCCCGTAGTTGCTGGCAGCCATCTTGGAAGGATCTCCATTTGCACCTAGTGTATTTCTTTCAACTGAGGAAGCTGCTTACCCAACTAAAAAACACATTTTACCAAGCTTTTTCACATAATCAGACACAAGGTACGGCATGACTATTAAAATATACACATAATTAAATAAAATAAATTTTTAAATATATAAAACCTCATCAGGTAGGCTAGAAATTTCAATAGTATCACACGTGATCTGTTTTCAATATGCCGATTGTTGAGACCGTTGGCTGCACAAAATTGGGCAAAGTTGCCCACTCTGCATTGACTTTGGAGAGTGAGGAGACCCATCCAATAAGGCAGAAACACTGTTACGCTCTCCAGCACCCAATGGGGCGTCTATGTATTCATGTCTATGCCTCGGACCACCAACAGCAGGCAAAGTGGGTTAGGTGTCTTGTCCAAGGACACAACGACAGCAACAGATTGAGCGAGGCTTGAACCTGTAACCTTCCGATTACGGGGCAGATATTTAACTCTCCTCTGCCAAGGAGCAAAAACTTTGCTGTACATTAGTGATGCGCAAGCAAGTAGGTGTGTTTCTGCAGCACTGATAAGTTGTAGAAGCAGCATCAACATCAATACAGGTGAGTAATTAATTAGATATAAACTTAATGTTGTCGAACACCTGACTGATGACAACTCCATCCCCTAGCCTCTATTTACTGAATCTGTTAAATATAGATTTATCACCCAGTGTCTCTCTCTCTCACACACACACACACACACACACACACACACACACACACACACACACAGCCAAAATAAACAATTATAACACCAGAACCATTAATAAGACTGAATTGTATTCAGCACATAGCCATGTTTCACTGGGAGGAGATCACAAGACAGCGTCAGCAGCATGTGTTGATGCATGGGGAGGTGCATGCAAGAAGCACATGCAAGGATGACACAGCAGTTACGCCTGTCAAGACATTACAGATATAAAATCAAGCAAGAAGAGGAGGATGATGATGATGAAAATAATCTGAGTAACAAAAAGAAGAAAAATCCATCTGACTCACATGAGGGTTTCTGCACAAAGAACCCGGATGCTTTTCCATGCCAGACCTCTGCTGGTTAATGCTCAATTAATCCCTCCCTGATCCACTGTTTTTTTAACCACCTATACTATTTTTTTAAAACTGCATTAAGCAAAGGATGACAGTTACAAGCCAGAAAGCAGAGAGAAGAGGGAAAGGAGAAGGGAAGGCTGGACGACGGAGATAGAGGGGAGGGGGGAGGGGGAGAAATCCAGGCTGAGCAAAGTCCCTGATTGGCTAAACAGACAGAACAATAACCATGTGTCACAAACGCAGTAAAGCCAATGGAAACATTCCTTCCATACTGTCTTTGCCTGTATAAAATTAAATAAATAGGAAAATACAGAGAGTCAATATTATTTCTGTGATAAGAAAATATTTTTAGGTATCACTTCCCTGATGTTTTACTCCCATAATGAAAATAACTACCAAACACACTACGCCCTTGAGCACACATAATGCTGGATACCAGCTGACAGATCCTATTTGACATAGGGGAACGGCATCAGATATATCTATCTGTGTATCTCTCTCTTTGTCTTTCTCTCTCTCTCTCCTTTCCCAGAAAAGGAATCAATTTTAGGACCATGATATGTTGACGTTTCTCTCCCTTCTTGACCCCCGGCACTTTCAGACATACAGAAAAAAATTCCAGACAGCAGCCTTCTCCAGCTTAACACAGAGCCACGGACCACTGTTTGATCTTCCCCAACTTAAAACTGGACTGACTGTAATGTACGCCATGGCTGAGTTTGAAGGAAAAAGTCCCACTGATCTACATGATTTTCTTCTGAGCAAAAACCTGAGTGAGAGTATGGGACAACTTTACGCACTGGCCTGTTTGGCTGTGACTATCCCAGTGTCCACTGCCTCTGTTGAGCACTCATTCTCAGCATTAAAGCGCGTTAAAACGTACGCCAGAAACACACGACCGGACAGACACGACTTTCAGCATTAGCCTCCATGTCCATAGAAAAGGATCTACTCATGGATCTGAAGCGCATAGATAAGCTGTATGACAGAGCCATAGAGGTTTTCCTGAGGAAAGAAAGGATGTATTTTACAGGAGAGGAGGAGATCCATGTTGGACATTTATGTTGGTGAGTAGAAACATTAGTATTTTTAATGTTTTGTTATTTTATTTTGTTAATAATCAATAAATGGTAACGAATGACAAATAAAATTATTGTTTCTATGCAATTTATGTCGTGTATAACGTGGTGTGTGCAGGATTAGGGTGTTTCGCGGTGCCATTTTCTCCTAAACAAAAGCAAATAGTGTGTTTGCTTTACTTGTGTATTTTATTGACACATCTCTTAAACCCGTCTTTCATTTTTGAGATTTGACAGTACCCGTGGTCTTAGTTTCCAACTCTCAATTGTGAATGCGAGTTTGATTTTAAAGGCTCCGGAAATTACGTGTCTTGACCAGCCACTGGTGTGTGTGTGTGTGTGTGTCTGTAAGGATTCTCCAGCTGTGATGTCATATTGATGGTAATTTAAGGTGTATTAATTTAGATTGGACTGAATAGGAAATCACCGAAGGCCCAGGGGTGGAACGCACCGCCCGCCACTGTATATATATATATATATATATATATATATATATATATATATATATAGTGGGGCAAAAAAGTATTTAGTCAGCCACCGATTGTGCAAGTTCTCCAACTTAAAATGATGACAGAGGTCAGTAATTTACATCATAGGTAAACTTCAACTGTGAGAGACAGAATGTGAAAAAAAAATCCATGAATTCACATGGTAGGATTTTAAAGAATTTATTTGTAAATCAGGGTGGAAAATAAGTATTTGGTCACTTCAAACAAGGAAAATCTCTGGCTCTCACAGACCTGTAACGTCTTCTTTAAGAAGCTTTTCTGTCCTCCACTCGTTTCTTGTATTAATGGCACCTGTTTGAACTCATTATCTGTATAAAAGACACCTGTCCAGAGTCTCAGTCAGACTCCAAACTCCACTATGGCCAAGAACAAAGAGCTTTCGAAGGACACCAGGAAAAGAATTGTAGATCTGCACCAGACTGGGAAGAGTGAATCTACAATAGGCAAGCAGCTTGGTGTGAAAAAATCAACTGTGGGAGCAATTATCAGAAAATGGAAGACATACAAGACCACTGATAATCTCCCTCGATCTGGGGCTCCACGCAAGATCTCATCCCGTGGGGTCCAAATCATGAGAACGGTGAGCAAGAATCCCAGAACCACACGGGGGGACCTGGTGAATGACCTGCAGAGAGTTGGGACCACAGTAACAAAGGTCACCATCAGTAACACACTACAACGGCAGGGAATCAAATCCTGCAGTGCCAGACGTGTTCCGCTGCTGAAGCCAGTGCATGTCCAGGCCCGTCTGAAGTTTGCCAGAGAGCACATGGATGATACAGCAGAGCATTGGGAGAATGTCATGTGGTCAGATGAAACCAAAGTAGAACTTTTTGGTATAAACTCAACTTGTTGTGTTTGGAGGAAGAAGAATACTGAGTTGCATCCCAAGAACACCATACCTACTGTGAATCATGGGGGTGGGAACATCATGCTTTGGGGCTGTTTTTCTGCTAAGGGGACAGGACGACTGATCCGTGTTAAGGACAGAATGAATGGGGCCATGTATCGTGAGATTCTGAGCCCAAACCTCCTTCCATCAGTGAGAGCTTTGAAGATGAAACCTGGCTGGGTCTTCCAACACGACAATGATCCCAAACACACCGCCCGGGCAACAAAGGAGTGGCTCCGTAAGAAGCATTTGAAAGTCCTGGAGTGGCCTAGCCAGTCTCCAGAACTCAACCCCATAGAAAATCTGTGGAGGGAGTTGAAAGTCCGTGTTGCTCGGCAACAGCCCCAAAACATCACTGCTCTCATGAAGATCTGCATGGAGGAATGGGCCAAAATACCAGCTACTGTGTGTGCAAACCTGGTAAAGACCTATGGATTTTTTTTCACATTCTGTCTCTCACAGTTGAAGTGTACCTATGATGTAAATTACTGACCTCTGTCATCATTTTAAGTGGGAGAACTTGCACAATCGGTGGCTGACTAAATACCTTTTTGCCCCACTGTATATATATATATATATATATATATATATATATATATATATATAAGCTACTATTAATGTTGATAAAGTTGAGACGTCCTGTTTGATAAGCATTCAGCATCAGACTTGACCAAAGATTTGAATGTCTCACTACTCTGTTGAGCCAAAAAAGAGCAAACACAGCAATGAACCATGAACCCATCTGTTTTTTCCACCCTCCACTTCAGCTAAAGCTGAAACTACTCACTTGGAATGTTATTAGGCTCATCTCTCATTAAAGAGCTTTTCCTATTCTTTTTAAAAGCTTGGAGTTATGTTTAACACATTTTATCCGGATCAAATTGACCTCTTCTCTTCTACCAAAACAAACTGGTATTGCTGAAGATATTCCCAGAGAACAAGCATGTCAACGCTTTTTGTTTCATACATTCTAGTTTAACTGGACACACTGGTAGCAGCCAACCAAGCCCTCGCTCCCTTTCATTCACCTTTCTGTAGCAAAATGTTTCATTTTGATCATTTGTCAAAGCATTCCTCTCTTTATCAAATTTAATTTAAAATCCTTTGAACGTCTACAATTAACAACTCAAAAGTACAAAGTAACAGCTGCAGCAGACAGAGCTCCATCTAGACAACTGTGATGGATAGTACCGTGCAAAAGTTTTAGGTGAACTCTTATTTTCTGTTTCCAACCAATCAAACTATATTATAATTGTTTGGAGTGATGTTAATTAAAGATTCATGAGGATTTCCTAATCTATTTTACAGTTATTTTTGATCTTCAGTTGATTTTTTTTAACCTGTTTTCTGTATGTTTTCTGAGTATGTTCAAAACATTCGGCTTATGCCACTCTGAACAAACCATCAATCGGTACACAATATCCAGCTGTGGTGGTCACACAAGGACTGAACAGAAAATGAATGAAAAATCACTGAAGTCCAAAGAAAAACTGTAAAACAATTTATTCTTCAAAAAAAAAAATATATATATATATATATATATATATATGGAAATTGGAAAAGACAGAAGACACATAATTGTATTGTCTTTTGTAATTTTAGGGGGGAAACTATCTCTTGCTTTTCTATTCATTGTGGTTTAACGTGTTCAACTGTTTCATTAATAGTTTAAGGTTTGGGTTAACGTGGGACAACACACCACCTTAGAATGAGATTGTCATATAAGTGCCACCTAATGTCCCTTATAAGAGATGCTGGACCATTTGCCTCCTCTGCTCCGAGCTAATAAAGCTATGGCTTCTGGGAGAAGGAAAAGGATGTGTGGGGAGGGAAAATGAGGGTGTGCCCGAATCCACAGGAAGGATGCTTGTAAGAGTGCATTTTGAAGTCAATGACATCACAGCGCAGCGACGAGTACTGTCCGAATTCCAAGAATACTCATTCTCGCGTCCTCGTTCCGCCCACATTTCGAGGACGGGTCTGTCGTATCCTCACAGAACAAGGCTATCCCAGCATGCTTTGCGCGCCGGCTGTGGATTTTCAACAGGAAGAGAAAATGGGGAGAGCTACGAAGATTTAAACGTAAGTTTGTTAAAAACTAGCCGTAGAAACCTAAAAAGCTTAAAGCGGTTCAGTTTAGACATTTTTCGTTTGTATATTAGTTTTCTAAATTACATTTTAGGCAGAAATCAGCCAGAATGAGTTTGTTTCGCAGGTCCCAGTTATTCCTGTGTGTGTGTGTGTGTGTGTGTGTGTGTGTGTGTATAGCGTTTTAATAACGGAGCAAAGAAGCGTTTTTATTAAGCTTAGAGGTGAAGAGTGAAGCTGTTTACACACACAACAGAAGTTCTTCTGTGAAAAGTAGTTTTACATTCAGGAATTTACACAGCTGACACGTTTTAATGAAGTAAAACGTTTGTGTGAAGAATAAAAGTTTTATCTTCTCATGTGGATAAATGTGAAAATGTGTTTATTGCCTTTTTGTCACCTGTGGTCTCTGATTTTCTCTGTAGGACTGCAGGTGTCCAGGGTCAGGAGAGGCTTTACCTGTTGGTCGTCCTGGGAGAGAGGCCTTCTACTGTCATCATCTTAATATTATTTAGCTGTTTGATATTTGAACACATTTATTAAAACAAATACTAACTGATAACTCTTTCTGGTCATTGATTTTATCACCAGTTTTATTAGATGCTTTTGAACATGTTACATGAACAGAAAATGAAAAAGTGGCAAGGAGACAAGATTATTTATAATACGTTACAATTATTTACTGATCAAAACCAGTATGGACCAGTTATGTAAGGCTAAAGCAGGATTAACCTGAGTGACTCTTCCTGGATCATTTATTTAAACTGAGTGAGCAGGAAGTCTTTAACAGTGCAACTGGATCTGCTGCAGGAGGATCCAGGCGTGGATGGAGGGCTGGAGCAGACCTGTGGCTGGACGCTTCTGGCCAGAGGAACATCATACAGGACGGTCTGCAGAGAGAGCTTTGGGACGTTTCGTCTCACTGTCCACTCCATCGCCCATCTACAGGGACTGCTGGGCTGGCTCAGACGACGGCTGTTACATCTCTGTGAATGACTTGCTTGTTAACAATAGTGGTGGTGTGCTGGTACCTCCTGCAGGACAGAGCACCACTGACCTCCTCCACACACATCTTCCTCAGGCTCATCCTCCAGACCCACAACTTCACCAGCACAGCTGCAGATGTGCAGCACAGTGCATGCTGACCTGTAATAGATTAAAAAATAGGTTTTTTAATGAAAAATGTAAAACAAAACATATAACCTGCAGTACACTGGTTCTGTTCAGTTTAAAAGAAAAGCAGCAGGGAAAACTAGAAAATTTACATTTTTTAGACAGATCTAATCATTATTAGGCTTAAGATGAATAAACAAATGCACATTGAGAACACTTCAATGCTATTTTATTAAAAAGCCTGTTTTTTTTAAAACGTTTCACCCCCATTTGATGCAAAATAAGTTCTAATGTCCAATTTACATTAGAAAACATCCTGCTGCATTTAACATTCATAATGCATTTGGTTTATATTAATTACCTACATGATAATACTCTGTAGTAATGTGTTGTGTACGTTTAACAAGTTCATTATGTAGCTTAAAACATACATGAAACCATCTAAAGTTAACATGTAAGTCCTGAAAGCTTCTAGAATAAACAAAGTTACTTTACCTGAAAACGGTTGTGAACAAACGCTGCTGATGGACGTGAAGCTGCTGTAGCTCCTTAATATTCCTGCTCCATTTTCGCTAGCTTTAGCATTTTTCCTTTGCGTCTTGCACCCGAGCAGATCCTTTTGTCCTGTATCGACACCGCCACGGCTGTGACTGGACCTACGGGCCACCGTAGAGGTGAAGGCTAGACTGTCCGAATTCAGAGCCGCAGGGTTCGAGTCTTAGCGGTCTAGACCGGCGAGGACCCGTATTCGTAAGCATCCTACCCGTGGATTCGGACAGACCCGACATCCTTAACTAACACACGCCCTGCTGGTGCGTGGGACACGTCAGA